AATTCAGGAAAGCCAAACAGATTTGAGGCTGATTAGGCTCACTAGCAATGAGATCAGCACTATGTTTGGCTCACATTAGATTTATTTTTCCATTGCTGACTTTTTGTCAGTGGTAGAAGGCATTTAGCCACGTAGGAGATTAAATGGTGGTTGTGACCTTCTGTTCCCCAAACACTAGATTGTGCTGCTTCGCAGCCTGCTTGGACTTGGGGTTTACTCTCTATAGCTAGAGACACTTTCATATGCTGTTCAGATTAAGAGTAATTCCCTTATTTTTGGATCAATGGGCTGAGGTTGGGGGGGAATTCTTGAGAAAAGCATAACTTAACAGGAAGTGTTTTGATGCAAATAGTAGTGACTGGTTTGCTCTCAGAAGTTACCCTCCTCTAATGCATCTGGCCCAGAGGAGCAAACTGCATTTTCTTAATGATCTCATTCAAACTTCCTTTTCCCCAAAAACCTGCTCTGAATTATTTCTTCTTTTCCTTCCCTCCTTAAATCCCCTGTGAGAGCTTTACCTTTGAATGTTCTGCCTTGGAAATTTTCTAAAGGATTTTACTGTTCCCACTTACAGTTACAATACATTCCATATACATAGAATGCTATTAAAACACTTGATGAAAGCAGAAAAAAAATTACTTCAGTGTCTTTATCAGTGTTGCTAGTTAAAATAATTTGGTATCTTTAAGGTAACTTCAGCCATGCTGTTTGCTGTCTGAACTGGATTCCTGCCTTCTCAGTAGGTGGAGTGCTGTGCCCTGAAGGATGGGAGAGGAGCTGGGTGGAATAGATAGGAATTCTAGTGTGACACCCCAGAGATGCCCTGGGGCTGCTCCAGTGGTCACAGAGAGCTCAGCTCTGTTTGCTGATGGGGAGGAGTGCAGTAGGGTGCCTGATCCTCTGGCATGTTTTGTCTTTTCTTCAGGCCGTTGTTAAGTATCTGAAATCAGTGCTGTACACTGAGATTATTTTTAATTAACAATTACTTTAGTAATTGACAATGGAAAGATGACAAATTATAATCCCAAACCTGCTTTCATTGGCAGAGAGTCCATGTTTCCCAGAAACAAAGTCTTGAAGGAATAGCAGTGTTCCCTTTGCCTTTGCTCTTGCTATGTGTGATGATTTCTGTGTCGGGGCCTCCAGCTTTTCTCACATTTCCTCAGTAACTTGAATACCTGAACTGATGAATCTCATCACCTCCGCATTCCCCCAGAGGCTGTCTCATTCTCTCACTGTGATATCTTCTTTTTTTCTTTCCCCCTTCCCTTGGCAGACCTGTATGGGCAAAGACGTAACTCTTCACGTCTCTGCAAGCAACCCTGCTATGCTGCTCTACCAGAAGTTTGGATTTAAGACTGAGGAATACATTTTGGATTTTTATGATAAATATTACCCCTTGGACAGCAAGGAGTGTAAGCATGCGTTCTTTCTCAGGCTGCGGCGCTAATCTGTCAGAGCTGTCTGGGGATCTTTGAAAAACCCAATCTGTCAAAAAAACTACCACAGCTTTCAGTGCAGGATGTTGGCTGTCACATGAGAGCTGGAACACACCAGTGGATTTCAACAGTGCTATGTTGTGTGCTGAAACTGCAATCCAAGAGGATTGATTCCTGTGCTCCAAGGGCAGAGGTCTGAAAATGCCAGCTGGGATATGCTGAAACCACTGGAAGACTGAAATTGTTTACGGGGAATTTTCCTGGCACTGTTACTTTGAAGAGCCTCATTGACAAACAAGCAAAAAAATACTTGTCACTTCAGAGGAGCCCCATGAATTTCAAATCTTGAAACCTGTCAAAAAAATGCTGCAGGTTTTTAACTTCATTTTTTGTTTATGAACGAAAATGAACCTCTAAACTTAAATCATTCAGTGTTTCTGTAATTTGATTGCTTTACTAGGAACCATGTCTTGAGTCTGTGAAGAGAAATGAGATATTGGTGCATGTAGCTGGGCAGTAACTTTAGGAAAGCTCTACACGTGCCAGAACAATAGTACTGGAACCATGTTTTAGGAATAGTAAAGAGTGTGTGAATTCATGTGATTCCAAATAAAAGGCTCAGAGAAGACACCTTTCTTCTGCTCCTTCTCTGCTGCCTTCCTTTCGCCTTGTTGACCCTGTGCTCAAGTGTGAAGTTCTTGCAGTGCACAGTATTTTGTGTTTAGGAACAAGGTGTCATGTGGGTTTGTATCTAGGCAAGATAGGATACCATACCTGCCAAATCAGCCCTTTGAAATCTTACAACCTCTCTGCCATTGTTGGTGCTGATGCAGTTGTTGGCACACCGCTAACCATAGAGCTGGCCTTGAAGGCTCCAGCATCCACCTCCTCCTGCTACAGGCACTCTGGATAGAAGAAACTCAAAAAAGTGTGTGGTGATGTTTGAAATGCAGGCTGATTTGTAGAAACAATCTGCTTGCAGCTTTGGAGGGAAGAGAAGGTTAGAGGTAGGCCAGATCCAGTTCTTGGAAGCACCAAGCTGTCATTTCGTGGTTCTAAGGATAAGTAAAAAGGAGAGCAAAGAATAAATAGAAATAACCAAGAACGAAAGAAAATACAAACCCCAAATGGTTTCTCTGGTAGTGGGCTCTTCTCCTTTTATGCAGTTTAGTGGCTTCTCTCTCCCTGACTTTCACTGCAGATGAACAGAAAGCAGCACTGACGAAAGGTCAGTCTGTGCATTTTAAATACGGATCACATCCACAGTGATGTTCCTTTCACATCAAGCCCACAAAGAACTACATACCAAATGTGACTTCTTTGTTCTTAATCCACTGTGTGTACCTGTTGGCTATCTGGCCATAGTAGAAGTTGCCTTAACAGTCTTCATTTTGGTAACAGAAAAGAAAGGGACACAAAGTATGTTTTGGTGTAGTCAACGTACATCATCACCAACACAAAAACAGTGGTAGTGGGAGGGAAAAACAGGCCATCCAAGGGTTGTGTGCCCTAACATTCATGCACATTTCTGCCTGCTTTATGACTGTGAAAATTTTTGATGTTACTTATGTTACAAGTTAGCTGTACTTGGAAAGAAAAAAAATACCTGTCTTTATGAATGAATTAAAGCCCTTCCCTTCGAAAAGCCTACCTGTAGTTGTACTGTTTGTTAAGCTATCTCTCCATCATATTTCATTGAAATCTAGCAAACTCAAATATGGCTGACAGAGGATGTGTGGGCAGCTGACCCAGGCAAGAAACTCCTTATTTCCCCACTGGACACCAGCACAGAAGCCACACCCATGCAGGCCTTAGCAGACTGTCCCTTTCCAGTCAGAACTGGGAGATACAGGATAGTCTGAAGAAGATGACCAGTTCTGCATTGCGTTCTCAAAGGTGACCATGAAGATTTTGAGCACCTGCTTGCTCTGTGCCTATATCTCTCTGGCTTTGTCCCTCAGAGGGAGAATGCCAAGTGAAAAGGGTGTTATAACAGACCTGGGATACCTGCTGTGCTGCAGACAGCTTGTCTTATCCAGGTGCTTCATTTACTCCCAGATCCTCAAAGGCAATTAGGTGATAAAATGCCTTTGAGCCTTTGCACCTCAGCTGTTTTCCTTTTTCAGGAAGACTGGTAAGAATGAGCTCAGTAAAGCTTACAGGGAATGGAGATCGGTATCGCTATTTTGCTTGTTTCTTAATAATTTGCCCATATTTCTGGGAAAATTAGTTAGTTAACAGCTATTCTTATTATATCCCACACTCTCAGGACTGGGAGATTAAGTGTTACCTTCTGTGCTTTTATAAACTGCACACCCTGTTCATTCGTGCTGCCTGTGAAAATGTGTGCCTTTGAATTGCTTACTATGAGATCCTTCCCTGATGATCCTAATGAATTGCTTACTATGAGATCCTTCCCTGATGATCCTAATGGCTTTGGTGGGTACAAGTGTGGCTGACTCAAGCATCACTTCACTGATAGGGTAAAGGTGAACAGCCATGACCCAAGAACTTTCTGACTTGCAAAGAGATCCCAGCAAATCAGATCTGAAAAACAGTAGTGAAAACTGCAGTATTCGTGTGTTACCTTCTCTTGGCAACTCAAGCTGTAAGAAACATTTGCTTTTATTCTACTGGCTGTAGGGGTGAGCACGGAGGCACTGTTGGGTGAGCAGGAATTCAACCCCGCTTTCAGCAAGAGTCCCAAGGACAGGAAGGAGGCTGAGGCCAGCGTCCTGACAGGCATCCACCCTGCTTTATGACACGACTACTCCATGCTTCCCTGACCTGTGCAGTGACTGTAGCAGCGATTAGAGTTGCCAAACACAGCTCAGTTTAACAGAACAAAATTTTCCTGGAGGATGAAGGTGGAACCTCACCTGCTCCAAAAAGGGCAGAAAAGCCCATGCACTTCCATGGCCTTGTCTGAGCTTTGATACCTCACAACCAGGAAGCAGCCTGCTGTAGTCACCTTATTGTGCCCATTCATCTGCTGTAGCTGAGCTGGGTAAATACTCAGATCATTCTGCATAGTAGTAATTAATTTTGTAGAAGTAATACTTTGCAGTTTACTTTGAAAGAGAAGTCCTGAGTGTCCTGATGTTGCACACGTGTCAAATGCTTCTTTTCAGACTTCAGATCCAGACTGGGGGCTGAAACAAAAGTCTGCTTGGTCCATTCATTGCCACCTATAGTGTGAGGATGTGCTGCTTTGCAGACCCACCTGCTTGTGATGATAAGCTCTTCGTGAGTGGTTGAGCTAAGCCATCTTTATCACTTGTCTCTGCCAACCTGGTCCGCAGAGTTGCTTCCCTCTAGCCCTTGCGTTATTTCTGGAGGAGACAGTGAGCAAACACTGCCTGCTGCATCACACAGCTCAGGAATCTGAGCTCCCGCTGCTGTGACGGATGAGTAGCCAGGTCGTCCCTGCAAAACCAGCGAGACGAGTGTTTCGTCCTGCTTTCTTCTCCAGACAGGCAGCGTTAGCCAGCCAGGCAGGGACAGTGAGCTCAGCCCGCGGGAGTGGAAAGGCGGCTGCCTGGGGCAGGAACAACCAGCCACTGTCGCGGAGGAGCGGGAGCATCCCTGAGCGGGCTTTGCCTCATCAGGAGGCAAGAGCAATCCCGCTGTGCTTATCTACCAGCTCTGTCAGCACAAAAACCCATGGCACCTTCCTAGGAGTGTAATTAAAAAAAAAAGGTCGATCTGGCAAACTTATCCTTCTTCCCCTTGGATTTGTGCTGGGGGCTTTAAAAACCCCACAGAAAACAAAACATTCTTTTTCCTCCTGGCTCATGCTCTCGGACTCTTCGGAATTTCCAAGGCTGCCGCTGGCGCTGGAGGGCGGCAGAACCGCCCCGCTCCCGCCCTGCTCCGCGCCCGCCGCCGTTTGAACAGGGACATGGCGGCCGGCGCGGGGCCGGCGGTGCTGCCCGAGGAATGGCGGCTGTACCTCGTCTCCTCCCGAGTGGCCACCTTCCGCAACTGGCCCTTTACCGAGGGCTGCGCCTGCACGCCCGAGCGGGTGAGCCGGGAGCGGGAGCGCGGGGCCGAGGGAGCGGGGCGGGCAGGCGCTGACGGGACCTTCCCGCCTTCCTTGTGCCCGCAGATGGCGGCGGCGGGTTTCGTGCACTGTCCCAGCGAGAACAGCCCCGACGTGGCGCAGTGCTTCTTCTGCCTCAAGGAGCTGGAGGGGTGGGAGCCCGACGACGATCCCCTGTGAGTACGGGGTGGTTTCCCTGGCCCCTTCCCCGATCGGCGCCGCTCCCGATGGCGGCGCCGCTCCGGCAGCGGGAAGCGCTGCTGGCAACCGAGGTGCTCGGCAGGGGAGAACAGCTGCGTGTGGCTTGCTGGGAGCTACTGTCTTCTATTTTCTCTTCCCCCTCCCCTTTTCAGGGAGGAACACAAAAAGCACTCTCCGGGCTGTGGTTTTCTTTCCCTTCCGAAAGAGCCTGCTAACCTGACACTACAGGAGTTCCTGAAGCTGGACAAAATGCGAATCATAACGGCAATTGTACGTACACAGAGACCGTAATGTGTCTCTAACCCCCTGTAATGTTGGAAGAGTTACTTAAGTTTCTAGTCTTGGGATTGTTTAGCTGGACTCCTTGTTCCTTATTACTGCGTTGCCAAAGTGCTTTGTTGCTTCCAGACTGGGGCTGGATGAGGTGGTGTGCCCATTCCTGGTCCTCAGTCTCTGCTCTGTGTGAGATGTAGCCTGATTTCCCCTTGAAGCTCGACAATACTAAGTCTTCTACTTAGTAGTAGGCAGTAATATACTATTTTCACTTTCTGCAGAAAAAAGAGATTTCTCAGAAGATGACCGAGGTCGAAGATGCAGCCAAGAGCACACGTTCTAAAATAAAGAATCTGGCCTAGACTGCTGCAGCTTCACACTTGCTAGTGACATCTTTCTTGTAAATGTACTGTGGCACTGCCACTGTGACTGAATGGCCGTGTTTCCCAAGGCTGCTTCCAGACTGGCTGTCTTGAGAAGCAGGCTGAATTCTGCTTCACTCACCTCAGTCTGTCTAGGAAGTACCTGTGGTTTGATATATTGCATACATAATCTTTCTCTGCACGGATTCTCCTAATCTAATCTTCCTGTTGGTTTTATTAAGGATTACTACTTGTAGGTTTACTTGTTCTCTTTTTTCTTTTTTTTTTTTTGAAACCCAGCTGTTTAGAGATATTGCTGTATTGTAGAGATCCTGGTAGCTCTGGTGTTAAAACATATTTCTGGCAAGAATTGACAGGCATTTCCATTTTTGTACTGAATATAGAGTAGGATATTTTGGGACATGAAAAGGGGAAGGATTTTTAAAAATCCTTCAGGGATTTAGGATTGTGGCTAATAACATTGAATTATACCAAAGCTTAGTGTGCCTGGTATCCTTGTAAACTTCTACTTGTAGTTGGCTGCTGCCTCGTGTTGATCTACGTATAGATAAAAGTTGAAGGCAGAACAGCAAAGTAGTTTTACTTGTTTTCTGGAGGAAAGAAATCTGACCTTCAATGCAATGGGCTGCACTGAATGCAGTTTTAACATCAAAAGGGAAAATAAGATCATCAGCCTCAGTGCTGTTGCCCAAGTGTCAAACTTTTTTTAAGCAGCATTCATCAGGCATTAAAGACATTTCAAAGACATTCAAATTTATTTGTGCCTGGGAAGGTTTGGTTTGTCACTTTCCTTGCACAAGTTTGGAAAGGAAAAGAAATTTGCAAAACAGAGTGCAGTCAGTGAGAAGCTGCTCTGAACTGCTGGAAAGGAATGGGGGGAATCTTGGAGAAAATATTTGACTGTTACTGGGCCCAATCTGATCGTACAGGGTTGTGAATTTTGCGACAGAACTGAACACACATGATTACATGCTCCCAAAGTCAAGGAACCTCCAGCTCTATTTTGGGAAAAAGGTTGTTGTAGTAACACGTTGATGACACCAATGCTCCTGAGTTTCATAAGTTCGTTCAGTGTTCTCTGTCCAACCTTACTTGGAACAATGAAATAACCTCATTATTTCCACTTGTAACAGCCAAATCATATGCTGATTGCCCTTCTGCGTTCTTCTTTTGTGTGTTTGCATTGCAGCTGTAAATAAAGAACAAATTGGTTTCAAATACTTAAATTCATTTCAAGTTACTGGACTTTGTGAAGTGGCTTGTAGGTAAATGTTGATGCAGAGTAACTTCAGAATTTCTGTGTGCCTCTTCCTGCAGGGACAGTGATAAGACCACTGAGCCTTGGACAGGCTCTGGCCCTTCAGTAGTGCCAATCAGGTCTGCGCAGGCAGGCTGTGGGTAGCCTGCAGCTGAGCTAGAAGCCCAGCTACAGTACATACCGTAACAGGACTCGGATGCTCTCCTGTCCCTCCAATCCAAGCAGAACTGCCTCATGGAGAGCTGTGTTGTTGTGCCTGCATAGGAGGAAAGAACAATGTACTTATTACCAAAGGAAACTATCCCAGTACATGTCTTAGCATATAAAACTAAGGAAAATGAATAGGATACAGAATACGCTAGAAGTGTGGTAGGCTTTAGTGAGGTTTATCATATTAAATGGATGGGGGAAGGAACTGAATAGAACAGCAGCTTTTGTAACAGCAGTTACGAGAAGTCTTTGAAACTGCCAGCTGAAAGAAGAACTGTGGATACTGTCCTTGAAAGGAGCTCCTCAACTACATATTTGTGTCAAAGGAGGGATGGGAGGTTAGTTCTAAAATTGGAGCATGTGTGCTTTTTTTTGGTAAAACTTCAAAATACCCAAGGCAGAGAATCAGTGCTCACTCACGGTCCTGACTGCTGGTCTATGTCAGCACCTTTCTGCGCAAGGAGGGAGATTGCTTCTGTGTGCTTGTTAAGGACAGCAACTGTGAGAGCAGGTTGATCCTCGTCGCTGATGCAGTTTGGGTCAGCTCCCTAGAATGCACAGCAGAGGGAAGGTGAGCTGTTAAAAACCATACAGATTCTTCAGCTTCCATGTTGCTTTAATATTATGCCAATTCAAGTTGGCAAGTGGGCTTTATGGTCAAGACAGAAAAATGTTAAAATTGTGCTGTTTTGCTTCTTCATGTTTCTTCTGAAAATGTTTGTCATCTCCTAGTTCAAGGCCAGAGTAATGTATATAATAGCAGTCAAATCAGATTCCACAATCAGGATGCACCTTACCCTACCACACAGCAAAAACTTAGAGGTTGTGCTTGCTTTTTTGCTATAGAGAGGACTTGACCCTAAACTATAAAACTTTCTGCTTGGCCTTGACAAACAGAGAAGAATGCCTTATGCACCCTAGAAATTTGGGGAGAACATATATAAATGTAAAATAGATCGCATCTTCTCGAAAATGCTCTTTTAATCTGAAGACTATTACAAGACTGTTGCCTCCTAGGCATAAAGCTAAAGTTGCATACCAGGCTAATATTCTGTCAGTAAATGGTCAAAGAATTGAAAAGGGAAACTTCAGCAAGCAATAACTTACTTCACTGAGCAATTGTTCTATAAAGGTGATTCTTCCTTTTCCGTTTGGACCCAGTTCATCCAGTAGTTGTCTGGATTCTGGCTGTGGAGACAGTAACATTTCACATAGTGAAAACTGGGCCATATCTTGCCTTTGAGTAAAGGTGAAAAATGCACACAGTGGCTTGAATGCAATGTATCTGAGCCTCATTATTGCTAATCCATGACTCTTCTTTGGGAATGTCTTTTTCAATATGAGCAAGTGTTTGGTAACCCAGGCTAATACCTCACTACTGAGGTCTTGATTCAGGAGATGTATCTGAAAAATATTAGGTTTACATCAATGCAGCTCTCCAGGGCTGTATAAAGATCTGCTCAGCCCAGTAAAAGTGCTATATTTAGGATTAAAATTTGAAGCTTCCAGAATTTCTGACAGTATTTTATTTTAAAAAAACTTCCTCACAGAAGTTAGTTTACTAAATCTTAAAACAACAAACAATAAAATGTAAATTCTTCCCAGGCTTCCACCTCGTTCTTCTCCAAGCATTTTTATCTCTGGACTCATACCACAGAGCTATGTATCTTCTCGGACCTGTTGAGATGGCTAACTGTTCCAAGCTTAGATTAATGTACATTTCCCTTTTGAAACTTTCCATGTCATTACTGACAATCGGTTTAGTAGGCTGTTCTTTCAGGAAGTTTGGTCTCTCGTGGAAGTGAATCCTTGCTTCTGGAATTAAACTAGGCCTCAGTTATGCTGACATCTCAGCTTAATGGGAAAATGGAGGTGACTTAAAAGCTTGTTAGGTAGATCATCTTTTCCCACCTAGTTCATAGAAATACTGTGCCAACAGTAGTTCCAGCACAGTACATCAGTGGAGTCAAACATAGTAAAGTCAAGGGAAGATGAGAGTGCCTTCATCTGATACTGCTTCTGAAGAAAACCTATAACAGAATCAGTCTCCAACAGTGTTTAGGCCTAAAGTACATCATCACCATCATGGCTAGGCTTCGCAAATGAAGGTTTGGGAAGGGCTCTACCCACATTTGTTACAAGCGTGCTGATGGCTAAAAAGGCCAATATGAGACAAGCATGTCCGGTTGCAAAAGGCACAGCAGAAAGACTCCTTAGGTGGTATATTCTGCAGGGCATGATTCTTTCTGCGTTGTTTTTTCTCCTCGAGAGTGATCCTGCGTGCTTCCTCAAAGGCATCAGTAGCGTTACAGATAGTGTGTCTCCAGACCTCCCGACTGGAGACCGGAGTAGACCAGTTATGTTGATCAATACGGCCAAGGCTGAGATGTTGTTTCAGGGAGTCCTTTTATCTTCTCTTTGGGGCTCCTCTCATGCGGCAGCCGGTGGCAAGTTCACCATAAAGCAAGATCTTAGGGAGGCGGTGGTCCTTCATCCTTGAGACGTGCCTTGCCCAACTCAGCTGTGTTCTCAGTAACATGGCCTCAATACTTGTGACAGCTGCTTGTTCTAGAACAGATGTATTAGTCACATAATCTGACCAGTGGATGTTTAGGATTGTACGGAGACAGCGTTGATGGAAGCATTCCAGGAGTTGCAGGTGGTGGTGGTAGATGACCCATGATTCAGATCCATATAAGAGAGTAGACAGCACTATGGCTCTGTAAACACTGATCTTTGTACTTTTCTTCAAGTGTTTATTTCGCCAAACTCTTTTATGAAGCTTTCCAAAGGCACTATATGCCTTTGCTAACCTGTTGTCTATCTCTGTCAAGTAATTAAACTGCTGGACTGATTTGAGCTCTGATTGGCCAATGGTGATATGGGGATGATGGAAGACTTTTGAGGTGCCGGTTGATACAGAACTTCTGTCTTCTTTAAACTGACTTCCAGCCCAAAGAGCTCAGCAGCGTCTGCGAAGCAGGATGTTAAATGCTGCAGAGCTGCTTCTGTGTGGGTGACAAGGGCGGCGTCATCAGCATAGAGCAGCTCCCGAACAAGATGGTTTAAGGTCTTGGTGTGGGCCTTCAGTCACCTTAGGTTGAATAGGCTTCCATCAGTACGGTATCGAGTGCAGATACCGTCCTGATCCTCAAGGTCTGCTGTGGCCCTTTGGAGCATCCTGCTGAAAAAGACTGTGAATAGGGTTGGTGCGAGAACGCAGCCTTGTTTCACACCATTAGTTATTAGAAAGGGCTCAGAAAGTGCATTGCCATATCTGACTTGGTCGTGTCGATCCTCATGGAGTGAGATGATCATTTTGAGGAACTTGGGGGGACAACCTAAGGCCTAAAGTACAACAGTACTTTAGTAAAATAGAACGGGTTCAATAATGAGAGAAACAATCTAATTAAGCTATTAGTAGGAAAAAACCAGTTATTTTCAGTTCTGCAATAAATGTCAGTTACCAATGTTCAGGTTTTATATTAAGCTGGACTTTTATGCCCCACCCCAGTCAAGGGGCATATT